GCATGTATGCCAACATGAGAGGAAAAATGTGAATGCTTCCCAAATTACAAATGGCAAAGAGAGAGAAAAATAAACAAACAAAAAACCAGGTATATAAAAGCTTTGGAAATAATCTGACCAAACAAAATACTAGATTTGAGAGTTGATGCTTCATTTTCTACAGCTTTGTACTGACAATACTTAAAATAAACTTATTTATCTCAGTTTGTTTGGGGAATATCCATCCTGAGAGGAGAAAAAGAAAACTGAAGCACAAAGGATACACAATCTACAAATACCATTTAAGTGAAAATACAAAACACTATTTCAGTGATATAAAAGATCTCCAGAAGTAAGATACCCTCTAAGAGATGAAAGTACGGAAAGCTAGTCTGTGAGTAGGGAAAACCTGAAAATGCTTCTGGGAGAGTTGATGCCTTCCATCATTAATTGCTGCTATGAAATTGTGAGACCAATTAAGATAATTACAGTGGTAATAAAATAATAATAATAATAATATTTTTTTAAAAACCACGGGGAAAGGAAACAACACATATTTCTGGCTTAAATGACCAGAGTTCATATGACANAAAACCACGGGGAAAGGAAACAACACATATTTCTGGCTTAAATGACCAGAGTTCATATGACAGTTCTAATTTATTCAATTCTCAGAATTAATTAAAAAGGTTGACAGGTTCAGATGTCATGATTTGATAGGACTTTTATTATTAAGAATTATTTTATAGATGATTGATATCATTAAGATATGAAGTTTATATAAAGACCTTAAAGCACAATTGTAGCAATTAAATTTAAAAATTCAGTGCAAATATTAAAATAGTTCAGGTTTATTGAATATTTTGGTAAAAAGTTCTAAGATTATTTTAAACCTGGACCTTTCATAAGGTAGTCTGAGAGCATACAAACAATAAGCCTATGTGTGTGTGCACACACACATGCATACAAGCACTGAACAGCAAAGCCAAGATAAACACAAGAAAAGAAAGTGAAAAATAATTTTAATTAAACTCAGCTTCCTATTTTAGTGCTAGTTGCAATACAAACATCAGATTTTCTCTTATTTCTCAAATTATTCATGAAATATATAAGGAAGTTGCGATTCAGCATTCATAGGAACTTCAAAACGTTCAAAATTCTTTCAAAAATATTTTAGGAAAAATTTACTGGATATTTTTTGAAAAATATGATTTCTTTAAATATGATTCATATAAATTATTATATTTCTCACTAAATCATAAGCTCTTTGATGACAAGGAAGTGTTTCCAAGTCTCAGAAATCCCTCACAGCTCTTGCCTAATAAATGCTTGTTATATAAATGAATGGATATGAATAAACTTTGCATGCAACTTACAGAAACTCAAGAATATACCTAAAAGTACAAAGTATGCAGTAAAGGACAGCTAATGGGTAATACTATACACTTTGTTTACAACAA